GCCCAAAATGTAATTTGTTCACACAAGTATTTAGAATTTGATGATTGAGTGCGATTTTCAATTCATTTAGCACAAATACATAGTTGCATATGTATATACAGTGGTCGTAAGAATTATAGCCACACCACATTTTGACAAGTTTTAACATAATATTTTTTGTTATTTAATTTTGGTTTTTTTTTTTTTAATAAAAATATAGTTCATTCTTTAACAACACCCATGGAAATCCAAGTGCGATACTAAAAAAAAAATAACAAACAAACTTTCGTAAAAATTTCGAGCTTTTTTAATTAGATTTTTTAGAAAGATTCTGAGTATTGACAGTTATCAGAGGTAGGTTTACAGGGCTGATAAGCTTTATTTGTTTGCTCAGGTGGACGCAGGGGGGGAAGGGGGAAGCGCGGAATCGCCTATTACTTATATATACCCTTGTGGTCAGCTGATTAAGTTAAGTGACATTTTGACCAGTTTTGGTTTTTTTTTTTAATTTAATGTTTATAGTTTTTTTCTTTATAAAAGTCTAGCATATTACATAACCAAAATCACATAAATCCAAATTTCAAACTTCGTACACAAATTATAAAAATTCAACAAACTTTTAACAATTACACCCAAAAATTGTAAACTTTTTGTTCAGAATTTTTAGAAAACCTCTAGGTATGCAGTTTTATAGCACATTAAATTTTAAGTAGTTAAAAGTGAAAATTTTAAGACGCTAGGCATTTTCTTCTATATTAAATGCACTATGTACTAAAAGTGAGTGAATTCAACCCTTACCGGGTTTCTTATATTTTTTAATGACTAATCTTTAATATGGACCACACTAAAAGCTTCTTTTCATATAAAAATTCGTACTTATCCCACCCGTGACAGAGCAATTTCTGATTTTTTTTTTTTATAACAAAGCAATAATTTTTGTTGTAGTTTTTGCTTTGTTTGTATTCATAGTTCTTTGTTTTATTATAAGGCATCTAGTTCACACAGAAAAGTAAAATAAATACGCAGAGTTTCCGTAAAATATATCTGCTCCAAGAAGCAGTTTCTGTTTTGGTCCCACCCGTGACAGAAGATATAACTCAGATTTTTTCCATACATAAAAGTCAGCTGGAATTATTTTCGTATTTTGTAATAACTCATATAATAGTGAATTAGGTGCAAATTTAAACAAGAAACAAACATTTTTTCTGTAACAATGTCCCACCCGTGATGGTGGAATCACCCATCTGCAGATTAGCTATCACCGCAGACATGGATTTGGTGGCCGCGCTACATTTCGTCAAAAAGAAGTCTGCAATTTTAAGTGTTGAAAAGATCTCCGAACAGAAGCCTGGAGAAAGCATTGGTCACTGCGTGTGTAACCGGCCATTAGCTATTTGGTGGCACTCTTCGAGACTAGGAATATTCCACCATGAATATTGCAGAAGTTTCAGAAATGAGGAATAGGAAGAAACAGTGGAGCACTTCTTTAGCAGCTGCCCAGTTTTGGCCAAGAGCAGAGCAGGCCTTTGCTAAAATATTTGCCGTATCGTCAAGTCGGGAAAGCAAATAGAAAACATAAAAGAGAAAGAGAAAGTATTGCTTTCAAGGAATTGACTTGTAAAAAAAGCTGGCTAAAGTACCAATCATCAAATTCTAAATACTTGTGTGAACAAATTACATTTTGGGC